AAACTATAGCCCAAAGAAGTCAAAATTCCTCCAAAATTAGCTCTAATTTTACATTCGCTCATTGCTTAGGGAGTATTGTTGAACTAAATTGAGGTAATTTAGGGCTACTGGAGAAGATGTGTGGACGGGATTTAGTTGTGGAGGATGGCAAACCTCCTGTCAACCAGCTTTACAGGAGTGTTAAAGAAGCTGCTCTCATTGGTGCAAATGAGCGTCCTCTGATCCACCAGAAACGGATATGAGCGGAAAAACCCCGTTCCATGTCACTTCACCCTCGTAATCCAAAGGGAACAAACTCTTTCTGTAAATGTGGGCACACATGACGTGCGTTTGGAGGGATTTCCCCTCACTGGGGCTGCGGTTACGAGCAGGAACGAGCAGCTTTCACAGATAAGCGTCTGCAGGTGTCGGTGGGTCACGGTGGCTCCGCTCATCTGTGTCAGCGCACGCCGCCCCGCTCGTGGTGTCTAGTTTTCTGTCTGAGTTCACAAAATACAACAAAAGAAAGAAAGAAACAACCGCGCTCGACATGTGTCTTCTTACAAACTGAGGTTGGCTGTGATGGTGGTTTGCGAGCCACAGGTGGCGTTTGGCCTCCGATTCGCTGTAAACGATAAAGCTGAGCATAAAGCAGGCCCCCGCCTCCACACGCAGATTACATGTGGTTTACTGAACGGCTCGTTCCCTCGGAGCGACAGCAGCCGCTACAGACTTCCCAGGGACACACTTCCCCAGCAGCTCTATCTGAACCCCGGCTGCTTTTCTCTTTTTAAATATAAACCAAAGCCACAACAGACAAAACCCTGATAGAGGAGCAGGTGTCCAGCCTCTGACACTTCTGGGAAGCGCACAAAGGCCGCCAGCACTGACAACAAATGAATCAGACACAGAACTTAGAATCAGAAAAAGATGCAACAAATCTACAAAGACGCAAAAGTATCACCAAAAGACGTAATAGACCAACAGAGAATGACCACAAAAAGGCAGAGGCAGAAGGAAGATCTGCTGATCTTCAGACAGGGATGGATGCTTCTAGATCAGAGTGGGAGAAAGACTCCAGAATGACTGATGGAAGAAGGCCTAAAGGGAAGAAGAGCGGCTAAGAAGACGTTACTGAGACCTGCAAACATCCACAAACACCTGGAGGACTGGAAGAGATAGAGGAGCCAGGACAAAGTCCATGTGGGATTCAGGAGATTCAGAGACTGATCACACAAAACTTTTATCCAAAGCAAGTCTGAGTGAACAGCCAGAAACTCTGTGGGACTTAATGACAAAAGAAAATGTCAGAAATAAGAGAAAAACAATCAGAGGAAGAATGGAAGCTGTTATCAAAACCAAAAATATGAAGTTTACGGGTTATTTTGAGAGAAAAGGAGCGGTAAGCTGCTCCCCTTTGGTATTTAACACAGAATGAATTCTAAAGTTTTAGATTAAACCAGTTTTTGGAGCATATCTTGTTTTTCTAACAGGTGGAGTAATAAATTAAAGCTCTGTACAGATTCGACAGTCAACAAACCGACACAATAGAAAAAATGCTCTCAGCCAAACAAAGCGTTGCGTTTTCCTCCTGTATGTTCCTCCATATGTTCTCATAGTGCGGGTTATGATCCAAACTAAAACAACAAACAAGAATGTTAACTGTAGACTAAGAGACGGCTGGATGTTTAGCTCTCTGGGACGCTCTCTCCCCCTTAGAATGATCCTTTCATGGCTTCAGATGCAGGGGATTGTTCTTTTATCATTGCACTTGATCTCAGAGCAGCCATTGATGTTTTAGCTGGCGCCTCTGGTTCTGCACCAGATTGGTTTTCTTCGTATCTAAGAGGTCTTTCTTTACTCAGACAAACCTGTGGGCTTCCAAAGGGTTCAGTTCAGTTACTATGTATTGTCTTGCTGCTTCCTCCAGCTGGCATCACCTCTCTGCTGATGACACAGCTCTTTTAAGCCTCATCACCTGGACAGGCTGAGCACTTTGAACCCAGATTAGCAACGACACCCAGAAGACTTGAGACCATTTCTTCCTTTATGGGAAGCCGGAGCACTTTAAGACGCTCTGTCAGGTGTTTGTTACACATGCGGGCGGCTCGTTGGAAACGGGCCAAAAACAGGTGGCTGGACAGATAATGGGGGCTTCTATGGTTCTGTCTGCAGACGCTATGCAAATGTCCCTCTGGATGCCACCGCCTCCCATTGTTGTGGAAGCCAAAAGGGGAGCAGGGAGCTACGGCCTTCGTCTCCTCCTTCTTCCTTCCTCATTCTGGGCCAAAGGGGGGGGGGGGGGGGGGCAGAGTCAGTTCCTGTGTCATTGTTCAGGCTCCATCTGCCCAATTAAACCTGTTTGACTCAGTCCACAGAAGAGCTTTGGGCTGTGTGTGTCCGGCACGAGCCATCTGTGAAACACCCACCAACACATAATCTGATTCATTCACAGATACATGCCCCCTCCTCCCGTGTTACCCAGACAGACGGGTTTAGGGGGGCAGAATGGGGCGCAGACCTTTCATTTGCTGTTGCTCCCTGAAGTAGGGCACTGGACAGGCTCATTGATTGAGAGGGGAGCTGTAATTACTGACGGGGGAGACGTTGTATTGATATGAGGCTCTTAACAGAAGATTACCATGTGGATGATGGAGGGTCCGGGCCTGTCTGGGTCTCCACTGGCTGCTACGGGAGCATCCTTTATTATTCCTCCTGTTGTCTGCCAGTCAGCTGCACCCATTTCTGAAGCTAATGAGTCCTAACTGTGGTTTTCTTTCATCTAACTGGCTGAAAATGACACGGATGGTTAAAAATTGTAGCTCTTTTTGCCGACTGAATCTTGACTAGTAGACTAATGAATAACTCCTGGGTTCCTCTCTGTAGGAGTGGAAGTTATAGAAATGGAAGGAGAGGAGTCACTAAGGGCTTCATCTGGTTAGGATGACCTGTGGTTCGTCCCGTTTGGAGCGTTTTAAGGAATTTCCATTTGACGAGAAGCCAGTTCAGAACCATAACGCTCTGAAGGGATTTTTTTATCCTGACTGGGCTGGACACACCTCACCAGCCGCCCCACCAGCCTCAAACAGGCAAAAGATGGCAACCTGGCGTCCAGTGCCGAGTTTCTATTCAGGCTCTTCAGTCGCTGCACCGTGGCCCTGTGAGGAGCCCCATTTCCATCATACACCCTCATTAGGTCCATGGTCATCATGGCAGCACTGATTCTGTGCTGTGAGCAGGACCATGGACGAGACCGTAAACAGTGAGCCCATAATCATGTGAATCCATAACATCCATCTTTACATGTGTGTTTTGATGTGTTTGCAGTAATCCCTTTATTTTAAGCCTGCTAAATGGATGTTTGCACGTCACTATCACCCCAAAGCTTGTAGTTAAGCTTCTGTATCATTTTCTATGACTGCACTTCGCTCGCTGTAGGCGGTTCAGCTGAAGTTCTAAGTGGCATCTTTTCCTCCTGCAGAACAATCAGACCATAACTTCAAAGTCTTGATGCTGCAGCCAGAAAAGTGTTGATTTTTCTGTTTGGGTATTGGTTCTAGAACCGTAATGTGACGGGAGAAAAACCAGCTAAAGAACAGCGGGAGCTGGGCCCCGTGCTGAACTACAGCACGTCCCAAACAGGGTGGACGGTGACTAACGTGGGTGCATAAAATCAGGGTGCTTCACACCATCTTTCATCTCATTTTTTGTTTGGTTTCCTCACGTTCCTGCTGTCCCCTTTCCAAACCGGCTGGTAGCCACTGTGGATTAGTTCTCTCTTCAATCAGCCGTACTTTGAATTTATTTTAATATGGTATGAAAATGAACCTGGAACTGAGACGGGACTCTTGCTTGATTTGTGTATTTCATGAATAACATTACTTTGCATGTCGGCGTAGAACATGGAGGAGATGGAACACACCACCAAACAACGATAACTCTGTGATGGCAGACTGGTTATTAAGATTATTAGGCTTTCAGTAAAGTTTAACTCCAGTTCCACTGATTCCACTTGAAAAGACAAATATGCATTATTTAACAATAGGCTGCCTTTTATTGAAATCTATTTGAGGATTGATTTAACCTGTGACACTATGAAGGTGTTTGGCATATTAGGGTTGTCAGAGTACAGTCAGGGAATGTTATTTCCAATAGAGGAAGAGTTTCTTTTTCTCCTTCCCTCCAACAGCTGTAAGGCTTTTTAAGAGTGATTTATCACAGTTCATCTTAGATTATGATTAGATTATAATTATTGTTATTCTTAGTTATTTATTTATATTCACATTAAATCACTGTAAATCTTTTAATTTTGAGCTACTTGACACTGGGGATGAATATAGTGTTTTTTTAAAGCAATATTTTAGCAGAATAGAGCTTATAGAATATTGCCTTTCATTAGATGAACGTTATGCGTTTGTTACTGGCCCTGGTCTCTTCTTATGGGTTGATATCAATATTGATATAAAATCATGTAGGAACCAGCCTCCTTCTTTATTAAATCATGTAAAATTGCATCCAGGGACCTTCAAGGTTTATATGTGGGTAATTGTTCATGCCACTTGAGATGTATTTCCTGAATCTCACTCGGCAGACAATGATTATGTTTTGTGTGACGAATACATTGGTAGTTCTAAACAGTGAGCTGAGGGGAAGGTGTAAATCTAACTGGAAAATCACAGAATTGTTCAATTGCTCTTAAGAAGCTGGAGTCATTCTTCTCTTTGGAGCATGCGCATTGACGCTCAGTAAGCCTTAAATTTAGTGTTGTAGAAAGGGGTGCTTAGAGATGTGAGAGTACCAAGCAGATTAAGTAATCTATATTTTAAAGGTATATATTATTTCTAACATGCATCATTTATGATATTATTTGGTTATTATAGAAATTGTTTGTGTGGAAGTGTGTTTTATTTGGCGTCGGAATCGAAAATCCTGTCCGCGTCTCCCCCCGTAAACTGCAGTGGAGTGGTATATTCCTGCCATTGTCAAACTCTGCCTGCCTCCTCTTGTCAGTCTCGTCTTAAAATGAAGCCGGTCAGGCTGCGGTTCATGCGGGGAAGAAGGAAAAGGACCTGAAAAGTAGAGCTGGCTTCTACTCAACGCGCATTTTAATCACGATTTTTTAAAAATACATCCCACACAGAGGGCCTTCATGAAGTGCCCCGAGCTGGTATTATGCCGGAGAAAGCCGCCGCAGCCCGGTGCTTGCTGTCCAAATTTCGTCTATTTATTACACTCTGAAGCAGGAATTCAGTTTAAAGACCTCCAAGTAGATAGATAGATATACTAATTTATCCATTAAAGTGTTTTTCTACTTTGTTTTTTGCGGGTTTGTACACGTTAGCCAGCGATATTTTTGTCGTTTTTTAGTGTTTTTTATGTAAGTGGAGGCAGGCGGGCAGGTTTATCCGCACGAAAGCGATGTACAACACAGTATTGACGACGGAGAAAACCGGCGAGGACGGAGACTGGCGGGACGTGATGATGCCCTACTCCACCGAGCTGATATTTTACCTGGAAATGGACCAACCGCCAGGTAAGGCAGAGGCGGGGGAGGCTGCGCCGGAGCGGGCTCTTAGGGGACGGGAAGGTGCTCTGGTTTGCACCTTTTTAAATCGGTGGAAAGTTAGAGAGCTCTGGTCCTCTTTTTCCCTCATTCTGGCCACGGCCGACTGGACAGAAGCATCAGCTGACCCCGGAGATGGTCTCCAAGCTCAATGACATCACTTTAGAGACACTGGACTTCATGATTGTCATGCAGATTTCTGTGCAGATTTCCAGGCTGCCTGCACACCTAAATGTATATGTTATTTTAAGTGACATGTAGGGTGATCATTTTCCTCCTAAAATGAGAGTAATCTGCTTTCTGGACAGTCCCAGGTTAAAGATTAGAGCATTAAACGGTTCCTTCTGGATCGTTCTGAAGTCAGTCTGTGAAAAGGGGGATGGGACGCACTGGGACTGGAAAAGTGAGGAAAACCTGGAATAAAATAACTAAAACCTCTTCCAGAGCCCCAAATCCTGCCCTGACAGGAGTCCGTGCACCTTTGTGCTGCTCTTTGCTCAGCTGTCACGCAGACCTGAATACGTTTCATTCATTCTTTCATTCATTCCTCTGCAATTGTACCAGTGTCATTTGACTCCCACCCCCTCCTCTGTCCTCGGCTGAATGGATCATGGCGCAGAGGGGGACGCTGTGCCGTTTCCAGGAGGCGCTGTTGAATGCAGTGTGCCCTTTTTCTCCTACCTCATTTATGTGCTGAAACTCTGGGATTCGGCCTGAAATGTGGAAACCACTGGCACTTCAGAACCTTTGTCAAAGAATGTGTCCAAGTGGTTTGAGTTTATTGGAGTGCATATTTAGCAAAAAGGGAAGTTTTTGTCAGCAAATGAGAGAAAAATGGGTGATCGTCTTTCCTGTGACTTGTCACACAGTGGCTTCTTTTATTGATGTATTTTACATTTTCACAGAGAATATGTCTATGCTTTTATTCCGGCGTGTCCGGACAACTTCTGCCTCTTCCCTGCCTTTTGTCTGAGCTGTGTTGGACTCGGTGGACGGCGCCGTTAGATGCAAAGCACGTTTGCTTTTCGCGTCTTTATAGCATCTTTACATATTAGGCTCTGAAAGCTCAGTTCTTAAGGATTTTCCCTTATTTCGTTTTATTACCCAAGCCCCTCTGTGGTGCGAGGGTTGTGATTCAGGCTTTGTGAGGACGCAGTCTGCCCTTTTTTTGTTGTATTGTGTGTCTTTGTGTGGTGTTGTCTGAATGAGCTCATCCTACATCCATCACCTCAGCTAAACCTCGGTCTTTGCATCTATATACTAAAGTAGCAGCTTGTCTTTGTCTTTGCTCTGACAAACCTGCTCTGAACAGTGATATGGAGGTGGAGGGGCTGATGCTGATAGGAATATGTATTAGACACAGGACCCCCATGACAGTTATAGGGTTTAAATCAGGTGTGTGGACGGGGATTAGCATAGGTGGAGTGCGGCTGCTCCCTTAGGGGAAGGCACAGCTTCTACTGTCAACTTTCCTGAGCTGATGGACGGGGGTCGTGTTTCAGTGGAAAATCACTGGGAGCTTATCGTTAAGTCACCAACACGTTTCTGCTCTTTTCTATGCCTCATCATATTTACTTAGTTTCCCTTTTTTTGCAAATCACTTTCTACTCTGAGCTTCTTTCTCTTCTTCTTTGGGGAGAAGGATATCAATTTGTTTTTTAAACATGAGGTCTCTGATAAGTTCGCATTTCTGTCACAGCTCCTGATTTTTGTGAACTTGGACGATGGGTCACATACAGACGGCAGTATTAGTGTATTTTTCCCTCCTTTTAATATTTGTTTCGTTCAATTACAACATAGATATATCCACATTAAGCATATGAATGACTAGTAAGGACTCTTTTTGTCTGTCAAAATTAGACTTTATCCAACCGGCTTTGATTGGATAAGAATCTACTAATAGGTCTCTTTACATAAAGCTTTTGTAGCCAAATCAGGCCCCTAATCTGAATCCCTGTCCAAATAACATGACTAACTGATTTTTACAACTTGAAGAACAAGTCATTTGCAACATCAAATCATTTTAACAAAAATCTGGAAGGAGAAAAACATTTTCTTTCAATTCTATAACTAAATAGATGAAAAACATAAGAAAATATGCTGTAACTGTGATAAATGAGAGAAACAGAGTGGTCCTGAGGCTTCAAAGTTCCCACAGTGGGTCAGAAACTGAATGTAACCATGAACCAACATGTGGACATTATCTGTGCAAAGACTGGAGCTCTGTGATTGGCTCTTTGACAAGTTATGGCTCCACATGGAAAAGCTGAGATTTCTGAGCTGTTTGAACACACAATTGATTTACCTCCATCTAAATACTTGGAATACCTTCTCTTTTTTTTTTCTTCAAAGATTTGATGGAAGAAGTTGTTCCCTAAATGTGCTTTGATTTGGTTTCTCTTGGCTCTGGTAGCACGATAGCAAAGGTGAGTGTCTGTGGAACATGAAGCACAACTCTGGTCTTCTGCTGCTGCTGGTTTAATGAATTTTGGTTATTTGCTCACGGGCTGGTTTTCCTTCAGCTGATGCCATCTTTGTGTTAAACTGATACTTTTGTGTTTTAACTTTGTTTTGTGATTGTAGAAATAGTTTTTATGCGAGTTTCGCTGAGTCAGATCATTATGTGCGAAACATTTTTTAATTATAAAGCGGTTTAATTTGTATTTTCTAGACTCTCAGCAGTTAGGGAGAGCTTTACTCTGATCTAAATGTTGTGAATGGTATGCCATATGGTAGAAAAAGTGCGTTATTGTTTCAGATCCATGAAAGGAAGGTAGCATGAACAGAATAATGTGCACACGCTCAGCAGATCCAACCTGTTGGTTTAAGAATGGATGCTGAGTGAGGTGTCCCAGAAGGATATCCCATCAAATAGCTCCACCCCCCCCACCTTCTTCCTTTCTTTCTTGGTCGAGGCTCCGCCCCCTCCTTCCTGGCCCTCTCCTGATTGGCTAGATGGGCGTGCCTCCTTGCAGGGATTAGTTGCTGTGTGGCTTGTGTTTTAGATCAGCCTCTCTGTCTTTTCTTCAGTCTGAAGAAGCAGAGCAGTGGCAGTAGGAGGAGGCGGTGGTGGAGGAGGAGGTAGAGGAGAGGGAGAGTGAATTCAGAAAGGAGGAGGGAACAGCTGAGAGACGAGTGGCAGCATGCAGCTTACCGAGAGTTCGATGGTGGAGGACGGTAAGAGAGCAGGACAGAGCTGGTTTTTATCAGCTTTCCTCGCGTTTACGTCACTGCTTTTTAACTTTTCTCACTTATGAATCTGGGTTTTAAGCAGTTTGTCTACATCCATCCATTCTGCCTGCTGTCTGATGCCGATCGAACATTCTGCCTCATAATTTGCTGTCTAGATTATACAGAAAAGCTATTTTTCTTGCTACTTCTTTGTGTTTAACAAACCCTCGTAATGATCAATTTTGTTAAAGGACTCATTTAAAGTCTTTATTTTGCTTAGAGAAAATCTATTTCACTATTACGAGATATGAGCTTGCAACCAGAAATGTAACATTTATCCCAATTTGTTTTGGGTTTATTCCAAACATTCATTCAGCCTGCTGCTTGATGCAGACCGAACTCTTCTCAAGCACATTTAACTAAAGAATTACACAGGAAGCACTTTTTTTTTTCTATTTCTGCTTTGTGTGTATTGGTGAATTTTTTTTTGTACTTTGCTGTGAAACCTGTAGTTTTTATTTGAAACGTTTCTTGAATTATCCATCAAAATATTTAGCATTTTTCCACCTTCATTCGTTTCATTCTGTTAGATGCACTTTTCCAGCACATTTTGCTTCATAAATTGTACATAAAGTGTGTGCATGTTTCTGCTTGACAAACTATCTAAATGACTGGGTTTTTGTGAATGTCGCCATTTACCATGAAGACATTTGAACTACAGATTAGTGGCTGTTTTTTATGTGAAATCTGAACCCACTTTGGGCAAATGTCAGGCAGCACCTGCAGCTCCTAACTGAATCCAGATGTGAGGCTGTGGAAACGGAGCTCACGGAGAGCAGGAACAGTTAATGCGTGCCACATGCTTGAGTTGTTGTTTCTTGTTGGCCCTCACGTGTTTGGGGGGGCTCAGAACATGGTGCTGGAGGTCCGCTGGCACCGCTCGCCCGTCCGGACGCTCTCTGCGCTGACCGTTGTTCCGGAGAGCTGCGAGTGGCGGTGCGTGCGCGTTGACGGCTGTGGTTGAAGTGTTTGTGGCTCAGCTCTGCTCCTTTGTCTGCAGGGGGGAGGGCGGGAGGCGGGGGAGGCTGAGCGGACGCTCCCCTTTGTTCACCGGAGCTCAGTTTCTCCTGCAGCACTTGTGGCTGATTTAAAACACAACCCTGGTGTAAAAGCCCTGCTCTTTTCAGCGGGCCACATCCTGCTGGGGTGTCGCCTTTGTTAGGGGGGCTGTCGTCGTCCGTTTGTCAGGACAAAAGAGCCCGGACATGAAGTCCTTATTCCGAGCCTCTCTGGTCACCGACTCTACACGAAGTCTGAATATGTCAGGTTGATTCTCTCTGTCAGTGGAATGAAACAAACCATTCATATTTCATATTTGTTTTAAGTTTTTAGACATCTAAGCATATTATTTGCTCTTTGAATGCTCATAACTTGAGTAAAGTTATGTTAGTTTTTAACAAAAGACAAAAAGGGACACGGTGTGCAGTTCTTTGTTTGCTCCCAGTGTCCAACAGTGACAGCAACTGCTTCCACATTCAGAACACAGGAGCAAAAACAGACAAGTAATCCTCTCAATTTAAATAATTTGGTTTAAGATTTGAAAGCAAACTAAAAAAACAGATAGGAGGGTCAGGGTTTTGCACACGCTCAGTTAGAGCTGCTGCGCTGACACGAGGACGCGGAACAAAGAGGCCTGCCACCGTTCATGTAACCACAATCACTCAAGGTCGCCGTTCACCTCCAGCTTTTTGTGTCCAACTCTGCAGAAGTTAAAGAGAAAAACAGAGTCTGAAGTTTATTCAGATTTCACAGCTCCACGACAGCCGCTCCATCCTCCAGGTTAACATTTACCCACTGAAGTCTTTATCTATATTTTGCTCTTCTCACCGGTCGGTGAGCGTTTGGTCATTAGTGAATGCACGATGTTCTGCGAGATAGATTGGCATTTAGAAGTGTGTGGGTGGGTGCTAGCACACAGCTTGGGCTAATTTTTTGCATCTAAAACAAAAATATCTGTACTGTGTGTGACTAAGAGTGACTAATGACTATTTTTTTCTGGGAACAAATTGACATAGTTTCACATTATACTGACTTTTTTACTTTAAACAGAACCCTTTAAAAAATGAGTATAGCAGCTCCATAAAGCCAGCTGATTTAAAAAAACAAAAATCCACTTCTAGAAAGCCTCATACCGTGTATGATTTAGTTATTTTCATTGCTGTTATGTTCTTTGTACCAAATCACAGCGTGGCTTTTTAAAAATCTTTGTAGACGACTTGCTGAGCCTTAAAGACTTTGCATGGTGTCCACAGACTTTAAGTCTCATTATTCATACAAGTCAGTTTTTATGTAAACTTGCTTATTTTTGTGCCTCTTATCATCTGACAGCTCTTTAAGGCGTCTATCAGCTCTGTGGAGTCCTGTGTAAAGCAACAGGCCAGCAGAAGCTCTTCTTCACCATTCTTTCTTTTTTTCCAACCGTTTCTGGGATAGATCTTAAGATGGAGATGAATCTGAGGAGGAAATCTCAAATAGTCACATTTGTTATTGTTAAGAACACCTAGACACTTGCGGAAAAAGCTGGGAGATATGAATATTTTAGTTTTTGGGCTTGCTGTTAGAGCCAGAATCAGACTTTGGTTCAGCTGTAGTAATCTATAGATTACTACAGCTGAACCAAGTGGTTTACAAATGGTTTACAAATCATCCTTCAGACTGACATCTTTTTGTGTTCAACTATCTGAAACTCAGAGTGCGCGCTTGGGAGTGATTGTTGGTCTGAATGATGGAACAAAGGCCAAAATGGAGCAATGCCTCTTGGTGGATCTGGGTTTACTCTGCGATAGAAATGTAACATTAATCAGTTTATCTGAATTTCTCACTTATTTTTCAACCTTCATCCTTTGAGCCTGCTGTTCGATGCTCATCCAACACTTTTCTCCCATGTTTTGCTGTTTGAAAAAGAAAAGCTGTTTTTCTCTCTGCTTTTTCTTAGTTAATTCAGTTTCTACCTAAGAGTATCTAAAGATATTTTTTTCATATTTTACATGTTTCCTGCACATTTTTCTTTACAGTTTATACAGGAAAATAAAATTATTTCTATTTCTGCAACGTTATGACACAAAGTCCCCAAATTACATTAGTCACATTTTACCATTTGGAATTTTCCTTTAGCATTAAAGGGGAAATCTGAACCCACTTTGGGCAAATAATGTTTTTGCTGAAAATAATCTTCCCCTCCAGGTTTTATTGATGCTAAACTTGTTTTACGGTGTAAACTGCAGATGTTCTATAGCTTGTTCTCCAGCACCTGAACCATCTGACTTTACAGTTAGTGTGTGGTTTGAAGCCCCACATGCTCAGTGTGACACTGTACATGCTGCTGGTATCTGTGAATAATTAAGCCGCCACCGGCTGCAGAGGTGCTGTGCTGTAGTTTGAATGAGAAAAAATGAAAGCATGGTCAAAATTAACAGAATCCTTCTGTGGCAGAACGCATGTCAATACAAACTATGAAGAGTTGAAACTCAAACTTTTCTCTTTATTTTCCTCCAGCTCTTCCTCCAAAGCCAGCAAAGCCCCAGCAGACGTCCTCAGTCGGGGTGGGAGGGGGCAGCAACAGCGGAGCAAAGGAGGGAGGAGCGGTAGGCTGTCTGCAGGAGGCCGAGTGGTACTGGGGGGACATATCCAGGTAACGGCTGTCCCAGCTTCATCTCACCTCTCACTGTTTGGGTCTCCTTTACCAAGCGCTCACCTTCTTCTTCCTCTCTGTCCCGTTTCGTCTTCAGAGAGGAAGTGAACGACAAGCTCAGAGACATGCCCGACGGGACCTTCCTGGTGCGGGACGCTTCCACCAAGATGCAGGGGGACTACACGCTTACGCTGAGGTAACATTTAGGTTTGGCCTTGATTCCAAGCTCTTATAAACCAAGTGGAATAGGTTAGTTTCAGGAGTTAAACAGAACCCTTCTGGATGGAGCTAGTGAGGTTAACCTTGACTCGGGCATGCACTGAAAGATGAAACCCAATGGAACTGTGAGGTAACTCTGTGGCCTTGATGGGCCTCCATTACTCAGTAATATTTCACAGTTGTTCCGTTCTCCAACAATAGAAACAAAAAAAGGATTGAATGGAAGTCACTTCATTGTATTAAAGCCTTTTCATGTGCATGGGGAGAATAAATTAGAGAGATAAGTCACACACACCACAAAAGGGAGATACAAGGCAAAACAGCAGTTAAAACTCAATGTTAACTGTTAATTGGAACATCTGCTTTTTATTTGTAATAGTAGCCTAAATGACAGGGGAAATAGAATGGCTACAATAACTCTTATCAATCAGTCCACTTTTAATTATTGCTGTAACTTTCAAACATTATAGAATGCAATTAAAAGTTTTATTTAAAAAGAACATAAATTAACGTCAAAAGGTGCGTGGTAACCAATGGAAAGAGGAGTGGATAGAAAATAATGGAATGTAAAGACTGAAATGCTGAGGTGATAAGATCTGCAGTGGCTGAAAAAGTGCTGGAAAATCAGTGGGAGCCGTGTAAGCGGCTCTCTTTGTGCTGTGTCTGCCTCAGTTCACTTCAAACTGGGAGAAATCATGTGTTTCGCGTGTTGTTTGGACTGGATTCCTGTGAATTTGAAGCAAGGCTGGTGCTCCCCTCAGGAGTGGCTGAGCTGTGGCAGTAAAAGCTTTCAGAGTGGAAACGGGTGCAGAGGGGATTGTTCTCCTTTCTTAGGAGTGTGCGTACTCATTGTTTGCACTTCTTCTGTGTTCAGGAAAGGCGGGAACAACAAGCTAATAAAGATCTACCACCGGGACGGGAAGTATGGCTTCTCTGACCCGCTGACGTTCGGCTCGGTGGTGGAGCTCATCAGCCATTACCGACACGAGTCTCTGGCTCAGTACAACACCAAGCTGGACGTCAAACTCATGTACCCCATCTCCCGCTTCCAGCAGGTGTGTACGCTGATGCTCCCTGCTTTACCCCAGCTGTCTGTTGACAGTGGCTGACAGAAGGGCTAAACTGCTGATTTAAAGCTGAGATGAAGGATGAGCTCGGAGTTCTGCGGAAAGACGATGCAGTAACCTGATACAACAGGCTGTAATCAAAGGCCCAAAAATATTAGATAAGTGTTAGAATGCCTTTCCAAAACCACTGGAGTAAATGGAAAACATCCATCTGTGAACCTCAGCAGACTGGTGCCTCCAGAACAAAGAGCTTGGCTTTTTTCTCCAAAGTCCAAGTTTTGAAATGGGACAAGCTCAAACAGGGAGCAGGTTCTCCTCCTGGAGTCGGCTGGTTCACGTGAAAGCATCCTTTTCTGTGTGTTTCCGATTCAAAGTGGGGAGCTTTATCTGTCCCTGAGGGGTCATTTAACCATGGCTGCTCCCTGAAATACCCTCATTCTCCAAAGCTTGTGCCTAAAATAACTGCACACATCTGTGGTGTCCTCCCCACTCTCCTTTCGCAGAATGCACCTGTGGTTGGTTTATTAATGAGTCTGTTCAGGAGTCGGCCTTCAGCAGCAGCATCAGCCCCCCCCCGAACTCTTTGAACTCTGACGGGGACAGCTTTTCGCCGTCTGAAGCACAGGATCTGTAATCTTTTCTCTCCTCCTCATCAGGACCAGCTGGTGAAGGAGGACAACATCGATGCTGTGGGGAAGAAGCTCCAGGAGTACCACAATCAGTACCAGGAGAAGAGCAAAGAGTACGACAGACTGTACGAAGAATACACCAAGACATCGCAGGTAAGGCGCCGCCGTGCAGTCAGAGGCACAGCCTGCAGGCAGGGCCATGGACAAGAAACAAATTCACCCACTCAGCTCTTAGATTTTCTCCTGAGCGGAAAGATCAAAGGCTCAGCATGCAAATGATGTCCAAAATCTGACATTTCTGCAGTTTGGTTTCTATCAGCACAAGTTTTTGACAGTGATTTATTTTTTATCCTTTTTTTTTTTTTTAAATATGCTGCTCTCATCTCATGACTTTTCTTTTCTTTCTTTGAACATATTGTTTTGGCAAAAAACTACCTTTGGCACTTTTCCCGCTTCTTTTACACACATTGTATGGCTTTAATTTGTTTGAATGGATGGAAATGCTTGGGGTAAGGATATGGTGTGGTGGAGGCTCTCATTTCATTCTGGTTTCTGGTTTCAGGAGATCCAGATGAAGCGGACGGCCATTGAAGCCTTCAATGAGACCATCAAGATCTTCGAGGAGCAGTGCCACACGCAGGAGCGCTACAGCAAGGACTACATCGAGCGCTTCCGCCGGGAGGGCAACGACAAAGAGATCGAGCGGATCATGATGAACTACGAGAAGCTCAAGTCTCGGCTCGGGGAGATCCACGACAGCAAGCTGCGACTGGAGCAGGACCTGAAGACACAAGCCATGGACAACCGGGAGACGGACAAAAAGATGAACAGCCTGAAGCCCGACCTCATTCAGCTCCGCAAGATCAGGGACCAGTACCTGGTGTAAGTACAGCTCGGTCCCGTCACAACCCCTGCTCTTTGCCTTTGGGGGTCAAGAAGGGTCAGTGGTGCTGGGTTTCTACCAGTTAAGATTTACCAGGGAAAATCTATGCTGTTAGGTACTGTACATGCCTTTTAAAATGTGTCAGGTTAGGCCTAAAGTACAGGGCACGAGCCCGTTCTGTCACTTCTTTCCAAAACTTTAAGTCCTGAAGGCTTTCAGAACAATCTGATGTAAACCACCTCTCACATGATTATTATCTAGTGAATGCTCATCTGTGGTGCTGAGGGTTACACGAGCTTGCTGTTTAAAGCAGTCAACGTGTCTAATATAATATAAACCAGGCAGGTTTAGACATGAAACTGAGTCCAAGGTTCCTCAGAAAGTTGAAGGAAGTCTCAGCTCAGACGGTTTTGAGCAGAAAGTCTCTCCAGGCCGATTTGCTCAGTGCAGCATGAACAAGTCTTTGAATGAAAGGAGTCTCCACACAGGGCACTAATGGGCTTCTCTGTCTCTCCTCAGCTGGCTCAATCACAAAGGCGTTCGGCAGAAACGAATCAACGACTGGCTCGGCATAAAGAACGAGAACACCGATGAGTGAGTTCCTCTTCCATTTTGCTCATTCTGTGCTTAATGAGGAAGAAAAACCCCGTTTAGATGAATGAATATGTGGGTGCAGAGGCTACTTTGTGAGCGAGGAGGATGAGAACCTGCCCCACTGCGATGAGAAGAGCTGGTTCGTCGGGGACCTGAACCGCACACAGGCGGAGGAGCTGCTCATCGGGAAGCCAGACGGAGCCTTCCTCATCCGAGAGAGCAGCAAAAAGGGCTGCTACGCCTGCTCCGTAGTGTGAGTACACACAGCCAGCTGCACCAGATGTTTCCAGCTGACGTAGCAGAGTTATCAGACGTTTACAGGAAGCCTGATTTAACAGAGACAGAACTCCAGGTTCCCCTCAGCCCCCTTTCTCTGTAGCTACATGTTATACTCCCCTGGTAAGCGTCTCAGACTGGACAGTAGGAGATGTAGGAGGTTAAACCTCACACGTCAGGCATTTTATAGAGGGAATTCTTTTCACTGGTTCTGATCAGAGGCTCACAAGTAGATGGAAACCCACAGACTGAAATTATTGAAACACTTTATCCTGCACCAGTTTTTTTTTTTTTTAAAGGCAGCAAATAGTCACAGTCCTAGGTCAAAGTGACTGTTTTCTAAAGCATGAAGTATAAAATGATCACACGGTTCTGTGTTCCATCTTTTAGTCGACCCGTTTCCAACACATTAGCACAAAGCTTATATTGTGTACAATTTTTGGAATGGATGGTAGAATAGAGCTCACAGGAAATGAAGCCTAATTTTGGAGGAAAAACAGCAGGAATTCTGAATTGTTTGGATGAATATGAGTTTGGAACAGGGGCTCATATGTTCATGTTTTATCACAGACAGGTTTATTTCAAAGTTTTAAAAGAGTATGAGGCATCCATGTAATTTTCAGCCAGTTAGATGAAGAAAACCAGAGTTGGAACTCAGTAGCTGCAGAACCGGAGACAACAGGAGGTGAAAAAGTCATGAGGAAGCTTCAATGCCGGTTCTTCTGTTGATAAACTCCTCTCTGACTTCCTGCATGCTGACGTCAGCCTTTCATTAAATTAGCCTCACATAATGCGGTCCAATTCCTGGAACCCTCCTCAGACGGAGCATGGGTCTAATTCCAGGGAAATGTAACGGACTGATGTGGAACTCCTGACTAACTGAAGCCTCTCTGTGTCCTCAGCGTGGACGGCGAGGTGAAGCACTGCGTCATCTACAGCACGCCACGCGGCTTCGGCTTCGCCGAGCCGTACAACCTGTACAGCAGCCTGAAGGACCTGGTGCTCCACTACCACCAGACCTCCCTGGTGCAGCACAACGACTCGCTCAACGTGCGCCTGGCCTACCCCGTCTACGCACAGATGCCCTCCGGCCGCAGATGAACCCCACACTGACCCCCGAGCCAGCCCGCCACCCCCAGCAGAGGGGCGGGGCTCGGCCACCGAGCTAAATCTATTTTTCCAGGAACATTTTCGGAGGGCATTCTTTCTAAAGACTGCTTGATTTGCACAAGGAAGGTAGAAATGTTTGTGAATGTGAAGAAAAGGAAGGAAACAGAGGAGAGGTCAGAGTTTCAGGTTGACAACCCCCCCCCCCCCCCCCGCCCCGCTGCTACCTAAACTCCAGCTCAGACCACCAAACATTCCCATCAGCTCGCTTCTGTTGGTTTCCTTTAGTTTCCTCCCAGGCGGTGAAACGTGAAAAGATGTAGCATATTGAGACTGCTGCTGGGTGGGAGGGAGGGAGGGAGGGCGAGGGATGGGGGGAGGGGGGGTGAATCCGAGGCGTTTCCTTGGACTGTTCTTGTGCCTGACGGCAGCATGGCAGGTCAGGTCAGAGACCACTCATGATCCGGTCAGAGGCTCCTGAAGGAGCTCCGTTTGTGGCCTCGGAATGCGTTCGAGTGACTGGAACGGCGGTGGGCTTTCTGAGTGTCAGCCCGGCTCTGCTTCGTTCGGAGACTCAGGATTAGAGATCTGAAACGTGCAGCGCCCTGTCCACAAACGAGAGGAAATGAGTCACTCTGGTTCTGACAGAACCAGCTCCCACAAGCAGAAACGACTGTGAGGCTTCTGAGGTCACAAACGGTCCCTTCACCAAAATCCGCTCCCAACGGGAGAGCACGGAGGCCTGGCTGAGACATGTGGATCAAATCTGGCCCGTTGAGCCGGTTTGTAAGGGGTTCAGAACCAGTGGGGGTGCTTCGGTCCGGCTTTTCTCGCCTCAACCTCAGTAACCAGTTTAAAGTTCAGGACGCTGCTGGGTTTCCAGGAGTTCTGGAAAGCAGAACCAGGTCAAACAGCACAATGTTCTGGAGCTGGAGTCGGCCCAAAAACCCCGACCGTTCTCCGTTTGAACTGAGGCATCGCCGGGCGGGTCTCCCCCCTCAGCCCAGCTCACAGGTTGTAGATAGAAGCTTGAATGTACAGAAAAGGTCCAGGTCCAAAGCTGTTTCTGTATTAGGAGCTGAGCCGAGCTGTCCCGGTGCTATCAGAGACTCTCTGTCCCCGCAAAGTTTCCCGTCACGACCCTCAGGTGTTTCAAGGTTTACCCAACAGACTCCACGCCACAAAGCCAGCCATGTGGAAACCAGAATAAATCAGGGTTTTTCTGCGTAGATGAAGCTAGATCCCTTTGGTCCACCCGTCTGTCCTCGTAGCGTAGCCACAGAATGCTCACAGAGGCTCTCCTCCATCACGTATTTATTCCGTTTCTTTCAGAGGGAGCTCAGAGGAGCCCTCACTGTTACTACTTGAAGTGTAATGCATCACTCACTGTTGAATGTCTTTATAAGAGAAGATCCGTTTTATTAAAGAAGTAAAGAGAAATCAGAGTTCCCTTTTGTTTATGACAGCAGAGTTTTATGACAGATTTAAGACGGGAGGAGCCGATCCGTTCCCACTCGCAGGGCTCGTCTGAAGTTGCACACGTTGGGCCGCGAGGCTTCACGACTCACTGGAGATGTCCTGTCTATCTCACACAGATCTATGTACACTATGTGGAGCTGAACAGCTCAGCCGCTCGTTTTTCAGCCGCTCCTTTCTGTCCCCGCAAACATTTAGACCAAAGATTTCAGTTCTTTTAGTTTAGCCTCTTAACTGGAAAGGGATGTCACATTTTCCTCTTGTCTTTGGTTTTGAACTCCATTGCCTTGATATTGATGACAAAGACGAGCGTCCCATGCAGCCAGTGTCCGTGATGTCCTGATGGTGAAGCCAAGATTTGACTTTATCAGTTTTTCTGTTTAAGGATTTAACTAAATAAGATTATCGACCAAAAGTCAGAAAGTCGCAGCTTTTCTTGCTCATGCAACTTAACTATTTGCACATGACCACAGCTGGAGTTGTTTGGTTTAATTTATGTTTAGTCAGATATCATTTTAAGAACATCTGGGCCCGATCAGGAATGTCATGACATCAGACTTTCTGCCCTAGTTTCCAAAAGTCCTAGAAATTATTGGAATATCAAAAGAACATATTAAAGAATGAATAACTTTGTCCAATTTTCGGCAGTTAAAAGTCAAATTAGAAACCAAAATGTTTAGAAATGACCATCTTTCTAAGTGAAAGTATTGATATCATGACACCCCTAAGGCACCAAACTTCAGGGACTCTGTAACTTTGGTTTGTTTAAAAGGGTAAAATTTGCTATTTCAAAGACAGCTCAGTGTATGTACGGAAGACCAACAGGGTCAAAATATTTATTTTTCTTTTGATTTGAATATAGACCTGTAGAGAGTAGGAGCTTTGGGGTTTCCCTCAAGATGAGGTCCTCTTTTTGTCTCTCTATGACATGCAATACTCCCCTTTCTGTCAGGCTGGATGTTCGCAATGGAGGGGCGACTTTTTATGCAGGTGTTTTTCAACAAGAAGAGTTTCTCTCAAAGTCTAACAACAGGCAGAAGGGAAAGCAGTGGAAGAGGTTAGTGGGACAAACCAAAATATCTGTTCATGTCAAGTTTACTTTAAACGACTGTTTGGCTGAGTTTACACTTTGGAAATCTCAGCTTTTTCTCAAAATAACTCCAGGAAACAGATTTAGGTTCACCTCTTGGAACACCAAGGTGCAGAAGGCGCAGTCTCAGTAACAAAAAGGTACAATAAAAGCCAACTGCCACCTTGTTTTCCTCAGTGTTTCTACTCGCTACCATCCCAGGACTGTTAAAATAGCAACTGTCTGTTGATCCTCGATTATTCCTCACTCTCGAGCAGCTCTGCAAAGTTTTATTTGCAGCGAGGTTTGAATATGTTTGTGATTCTCACAGGAGTCGTGTTGTGTTCTTACCACTGCTATCTGATCACAGTACCCAGCACAGCTTTGAGGAGTAACTTCTTATTATATATAAATATATATATAGAAAAAAAAGAACTTTTAAAAAAACTACGTTGAAAACTTATTTAAAAAAAACTGTATATGACCCCCGTTCTCCCCCTTTTTGACATACGTACAGATCCAGCATGCATATTTGGTACCTAACTGTTGTTTTTGTGTATAAAAGAAAAAGGGTGAGAAAAAAAAAGATGTCTTTGGAAAACAACTGTTCTTTGTCTGTTTATGGTGTATTCAGATCTGAATTTAATAGAGCAATTTTAACATCCCAGCTTAAGCTGAAACTAGTACGTCTTTTATTTTATGTCAGTTGTATAAAGCTATGACAACGTAAGGCTGAGAAAGAGGAGCATAAAAACTAAGGCCTGCCTGTTTCATCTACAGATATTCTATCCAACTTAATGCTCTGAATGCTCGTCACCTACATTAAATGTAATCCCTTGATATCAGTGGGATTAATAACTGACATTTTGTGGGAAATTTTCAGCCTTTAAACTGAGCAGAATCCTCTGAATTCGTTTGAAAAAGTTCTTCTTTCTCAGCGTTACCTGCTCCAGCCTTCTCAGTATTCCCTCTCAAATGGTTTGAATCCATCGCGGTACACTTTCATTTCTTGTATCGGTTGCAATAGTTTGTTGGTTGTAAAATTTCATTTTGTTTATGGGCTGAACTCATGTATGTTTATCAGTGGAGATCCACCATGTTCAATTCTCTTGCAGAATAAAGAATATTTTGTTCAAATACAAATAGTGCCTGTACTTTTCCTTTGAGCACACAAAGACTGTATTCATATTGTAAAAGTCTATGCACACATGTATGCAGGCATACTTTAAAAAAAACTATGTAAATAAAAACACCTGCATACCTATGTAAAAAAAAAAAAGTGTGCATGTGTTTTTACATAGGTATGCAAGAATCTTTAAGTTTTTCTTTACATAGATCCTCATGTCTTTTTTTCATGTTTTTTTTTTACATAAGTGTTTTGACAGTTATCAGTTACATGTCTTTTTTCATACCAATGGAAAAAAAGACATATGTACAACATGTAGAAAAGACTAATGCATACCCATCTAAAAAGTCATACATACCCATGAAAAACAGACATGCATAAAAGAAGGCACACGTACAAATGTAAATTATAACCTACATACCCAAGTGAAAAAGACACTTGCATACCTATGTAAAAAAAAGACATACACACCTATGTCAAAAGACACATAATTGTGAAAAAAGACTTGCATAACTATGTAAAAGAGACACATGTATACCTATGTCCAAAAACATGCATGCGTACCTGGGTAAAAAAACAACAACACATGCATAACGATGTAGAAAAAAACCTGCATACCCAAGTGGAAAAGACGCTTACCCCATGTCAAGAAACATACATGCATACCTCTAAAAAAAACAATGCATACCTATGTAAAAACCATCCAAGCATACCTGTCAAAAAACACAGGCATACCTATGTAAAAAAACAAACCAAAAAACACATTCCTATGTGAACAAAATAAGCATACGTATGTCAAACAATAACCTAAAGGCCTAAGAGAAAAGGCTAAATACATACCTATATAAAAAAGACAATACAAACCAGTCAAAAAACATACGTGCATGTTTGTTACATACACAATGTAAAAAAACATATGAATACCTCTGTCAAAAACCACATATGCATACCTACATTAAAAAACACACATGCACACTTATTTAAAAAAAACATGCCAAAATAAAATACTATGCCAAAAAACCAATGCATACCTAGATCGAAAAATGCACATGCATTCCTATGTAAAAAAGATACATGCAGACCTTTGTCAAAAAAACATACATGCCTACCAATTAAAAAAAATGCATCCCCATGTAAAAACAACCAACATACCTAATTAAAAAGGACAAATGCATACCTATATAAAAAACATTCATGTATACTTGTATTAAAAAAAGACATGTATACTGATGTAGCTAAGACACATGCATACTTATTAAAAAAAACATGCACTCAAACAGATACATACCTATGTCAAATGCCACACATACATACCTATATACAAAATACACTTGCATACCTATGTCAAAAAGGACATATACGTACCCATGTCAGAAAACATACATGCATACCTATGTAAAAAAAGATACATGCATTCCTATGTAAAAAGACATGCATACTAATATAAAAAAGACATGCATACCTGTGTAAAAAAACACAATGTCAAAACCACACTTTCTTTTTTATAGAGATAGGCATCCGTCTTTTTAGATAGGTACGTATGTGTTTCTACTTAGGTATTTATGTTTTTTTAAACAAAAACATACCTGTCAAAAAAGACATACCTATGTCAAAAAAGACATACATACCTATGTAAAGAAACACCTTCATACCTACTAAAATATAAAATACATACATTTCTAAAAACAAGATATACTGTACATCCCTATGTAAAAAGAAACGCATTATTTATCTGTCAAAAAAGACATGCAAACCCATGTAAAAAACCACACATGCATAGCCTACCTGTCAAAAAAGACATACCTATGTCAAAAAAGACATGCATAACTATGTTAAAAAAAAAAACGCATGCATACCTAATTGAAAAAAAAGACAGGCATACCTCCAAAAAAAACAACAAAGAAGATATGTTCAGTACTGGCCTGTTATAGTACTTAACCAAAGATAAACTACCATGCACATTCCTACTCAGGGATATTTTCCTCATGCATTTTTAGGACATTCAGGGAAAAACAGACAAAACAGGCCCACGGAAAAAGCACAGCATTAGAAGTGGTTCCAGGAACCGTCATTTTTTGAGGCAACAGAGCTAACAACATGCAAGCAGATGCCTTTGATGTGACTGGCACATGTCAAATCTATCCGTCAGCACAACAAAGTCAGACCAGTGTTCAAAGTGTGCTGACTCCTGCCCTCAGTCTCTTTTTATGTGTGACAGAGATCTAATTACAGGCACTCAGAATCTCTGCCGCTCCACTTTTAATTAACATACTCAAAACAAAAAGGGTATTGGAACAAAGATGTAAAACTAATTGAATGGAATTTGTAATTTAAAGCTCTGGATTTAAAGGAGGCGGCGAGATCAAATACAAATCCACACTTTTAAGAATCAGCTCCCGAGGGGTTTCCCACCCAGTGTTTCAAGAATTGAGTGTTATGAGACCACAGAGGGGCCACGGCCTCCATTTTCAAACCTTTGCAGCGGAATGAAGTTTTACACAGAGCAGAATAATGATGTGGATTCTGGCTGCTAGAAACGGTCCTCTAATAAGTGAGGGCTGGTGTAGAGGACCACTCTCAAGGCTGTGCACATTCTGAATTAATGCAGCAGGCAGGAATCATTTATAGAGGAATCACTCAAGCTCGCACACTATTGATTTCACCTTTCGGGTTCACCACACACACACATACACACACACACACACAAAAGTTTAAAAACTTCATTCAATTTCAGTAGTGACAGAGAAACTGACTCAGTCCCTTTGTTTCCCTCACAGAGCCATTTGGGTTTGGATTGTTCCCCAAAATCATAAACACCCTCATTCAAAACTGCAACATGTGTTTGTTCGTGTCATCTTTGTCCAGCATGCAAATTAGTCTGTGAACAAGTCTGATGAACACACACAAAAAGAAACTCAGGGAGGAGGGAAAGCCTTTTCCACAACCCTTCATGTGCACCGGCAGGTAAAAACAGGTGAACAGGTTATTCCTCAGACTGATCACAGCTGATCCAATAAGTCCACCAACAAAAAATAGTAGGGGGCTGGAAGGAAACTCATTTCATGGTTGGTATGTCACCAGGGACCCAAAAGCTTCCAGAAATAATAAACTCTTACAGTAAAATCTCCTGCTACCAAGGGTTGATGGATTATTGGACTTTAACAGAAAGATTATTGACAAGTTTTCCCATATCATCTTTTCTGCAAAGCTCCAGATTTCTGCAGCAGAGCTGTGAGCCTGACTCTACTGAGCACCACCTCCAGTTACCCACAGCTCATGATGGGACGGAAACTCAATCACAATCAAAGTATGCACAAAAGGGGAAAACTGGTTTGAATGGGGTAACTGGTGTGGCTTATAACAAAGGCTCCAAGGTTTTTTGGGGACCTTCAAAAACTTTCTAATGAGCATTTTCAAAAAGAAAGACTGAAAGATTCATGCTTTGTACTAAAGCTCCTCCTAATGAGTATGCAAATGCACGTCCAGTGGGAATAACTGCTCTTAAAATCTGCTCTTAAAGCAGAATTCTCTGCTCCTTGGTGTAACCGAGGACCCATTGTGCTCTTTTTCATCCATTAGGAACATTATTAGAATTCTTAAAACCTGCAGACAATCCCCAAAACCTGCAGCAGAAGCAGAGTGAGTGTGATTGTGCAGCTTAAAGTGAATCTCTGCTCTGAGCTCCTTCATTCTCCAGCACAGCCTGAACCCTCTCCAACCAGCTCTGGGTCCTTTCTTTAAGGAGTCTTCAGGAATAGTTCTCCAGGCTTCTTGAAGGACATCCCAAAGCTTTTCTTTGAGTTTTTGGGTCAGAACAGTAATAAAGAATCCTGAATCCAGTTTTTCCGATCACTGAAACAGGATGCTCCTCATTTTGGAGACATTACGGGGGGGAAAAGGCAGAAACCAGTTTGATATGACAGTCAGAGGGCAGATTCTGGTGATTGGGTGAGGAGATTAGCATCGGTGTGAGTTGAAATGACAGATAATTGCAGGGTGACACACTCCAAATGACAGTGGACGTCTGCGCCACAGTTGTCAGCTCTGATTGAAAGGGAAACTCGTGGAAACGCGGCAACCTGTTGACTGACAGCTGTGCACTCACTAATGGGCTTTAAACGCACGCGTTCCTGCAGCAGCTGTTTTACACACCGCTTTTCAGGGTCAGCGCCCACAGCAGGTCGACTCCCCTCGTCCCAAATCAGCATCACCGTAATGAGCTGCAGCTCTGCCTCCACCTCTCCCCACTCACTTTTCCTTTTTCCTCCATCCCTCGTTCAATCTTCCTCAGCCCGAACATCTCAGGAGACGGAGAATTACGGGGAGGAGGCGGTTCGGGGGTGCTCTCCGGGCACAGCAGGCTGGCTGCGAGCACCATGGCAGTGGCAGGGGAATAAATTAGAGGCAGATGCAGAGCATAATAAAGCCATAATGAGTTTGCAGCCAGCTGACGTGCCAACCTAGGGCACAGCCCAGCGAATATTTACCATCCTGCTAATAAGTCATGGCAAGAACTAATCAGCCGGCATGCCAAGGAGGGTTAGTGGGCAGTCTGAGGCAGGGAGGAGGAGAAGGGGTGGAAGTGTAGCTGTGTTACACTGCAGAGCTGCTAGCTAAGCAGAAGAGAAAGCTTCATCTGAATTAATACAATCCAACACAGCCACGCGAGTCCAAGCTCAATTCTTCCTCTGTGCACGTCTGATTAAAAACACAACAACCAGCAGCTTATTTGCACTGGAACTGTGCACACCTGCACCATGACCACCTAATTCATGTTTTAATGTAAGAGCACCTTCCTCTAATCCCAGGCTTTGTGCATAAGGCCATTAAAGAAACATCTGCTCATCTACAGGAGTTAAAACTGAATAAATCCTAACCCAAACTACACGCGACACATTAAACTGTCTCATTATTTATGGAAGCAGATGGAACATCTATGCTGGGGAGGCACGGCTCCTGTCCTTTCCCTTAACAGACGCTCAACAGACGCAGCCTTCGGTGGGACTTTTAGGCCCGTTTCAGCGTTTTAGAGGAAATAATTTAGCACTTATTAGGTTAGAAATCATGACAGACTGATGTGCAGATTAATACAAAGAAGTCTGATGCATTTGGCTGAAAGAGGGGATCGTTCAGAGGAGATTTGGAGGTAAAAGACAGCAGAAGTGAGATTTAAAGAGGAAAGTAAAGGAGATTGGCTGGGACAACCTTGGAAAAAAGTCTAAAAATCTGGAACGAAAAGATCTGAACTGACCCCAAAAGACTTCTTCCTTCCACAGTTCCACATGAAGCCCAAGCATTTAACTATAGATTTTAATGGCTGTTCCACTCCAGGCCTCACACTAAAGTTGGAACATTTACATTTTCAATTTAATTATACTTTACTAAAAAAGAAGGGAAAACAAAACAAGGATCAGATGACAAAAATGTTTCTTTCTGCCAGTGACCAAGAAGGTCTGAAGGTCCCCAAAATCCTCTGGAAACATTCCAATGAAGCCAGGAGGATTTAACAACACAGACCAGAACCAGGACAACAGGCCACAGTCCTTCAGAGCATCTCCCATCTATGACTGGCCCCACATCCACATGTCAGTCCATCACAGGTACATGCTCTCACCCAAACGGCCAGTTTGAACTTTTTTGTGCTCTTTTTTCAGACAGAAATCATAAACCAGATGACAGGTTTGCTGTAAATGTTTTTCGGTTGATTTGGATTCCCCAAATATTAAGTGAAAGTTTTTTTTGTGAAAATCTGGTGCCTGCTTCCATCTTCTTTAATCCAACCTCCACATCCAGCTCACATGCTAGCTCTCAGGACAGAAGAGAAAAATAGCCCCATGAAGGCTATACACCTGTAGTATGTGCTGATGGGCTCATCTGCGTGGTTCTTTTAGTTTTGGTTATTAATAAAAGGCCATTTCATAGGTCTCCAGATACAGTGGGGCAAAAAAGTATTTAGTCAGCCACCAATTGTGCAAGTTCTCCCACTTAAAAAGATGACAGATGCTTGTCATTTTCATCATAAGTAAACCTCAACTATGAGAGACAAAATGAGGAGAAACAATCCAGAATTGTCTGATATTGTCAGTATTGTCAGTATTGTCTGATTTTTTAAGAATTTATTTGCAAATTATGGTGGAAAATAAGTATTTGGTCACCTACAAACAAGCAAGATTTCCGGCTCTCACAGACCTGTAACTTCTTCTTTAAGAGGCTCCTCTGTCCTCCACTCATTACCTGTATTAATGGCACCGGTTTTAACTCGTTATCAGTATAAAAGACACCTGTCCACAACCTTAAACAGTCACACTCCAAACTCCACTATGGCCAAGACCAAAGAGCTGTCGAAGGACACCAGAAACAAAGTTGTAGACCTGCACCGGGCTGGGAAGACTGAATCTCTAATCAGTAAGCAGTTAGGTGTGAAGAAATCAACAGTGGGAGCAATTTTTAGAAAATGGAAGACCTACAAGACCACTGATAATCTCCCTCGATCCGGGGCTCCACGCAAGATCTCACCCCGTGGGGTCAAAATGATCACAAGAACGGTGAGCAAGAATCCCAGAACCACACGGGGGGACCTAGTGAATGACCTGCTGAGAGCTGGGACCAAGGTAACAAAGCCTACCATCAGTAACACACTAGGCCGCCAGGGACTCAAATCCTGCAGTGCCAGACGTGTCCCCCTGCTTAAACCAGTCCATCTCCAGGCCCGTCTGAAGTTTGCTAGAGAACATTTGGATGATCCAGAGGAGGATTGGGAGAATGTCCTATGGTCAGATGAAACCAAAGTAGAACTTTTTGGTAAAAACGCAACTTGTCGTGTTTGGAGGAAGAAGAATGCGGAGTTGCATCCAAAGAACAACATACCTACTGTGAAGCATGGGGGTGGAAACGTCATGCTTTGGGGCTGTTTTTCTGCAAAGGGACCTGGACGATTGATCCGTGTGAAGGAGAGAATGAATGGGGCCATGTATCGTGATATTTTGAGTGCAAGGGCACTGAAGATGAAACGGGGCTGGGTCTTTCAGCATGACAATGATCCCAAACACACTGCCCGGGAAACAAAGGAGTGGCTTCGTAAAAAGCATTTCAAGGTCCTGGAGTGGCCTAGCCAGTCTCCAGATCTAAACCCCATAGAAAATCTTTGGAGGGATTTGAAAGTCCGTGTTGCGCAACGACAGTCCCAAAACATCACTGCTCTAGAAGAGATCTGCATGGAGGAATGGGCCAAAATACCAGCAACTGTGTGTGAGAACCTGGTGAAGACTTCTAGAAAACGTTCGACATCTGTCATTGGCAACAAAGGGTATATAACAAAGTATTGATATCGACTTTTGTTTTTGACCAAATCCTTATTTTCCACCATAATTTGCAAATAAATTCTTTAAAAAAATCAGACAATATGATCTTCTGGATTTTTTCTCCTAATTTTTTCTCTCATAGTTGAGGTTTACTTATGATGAAAATGACAGGCATCTGTCATCTTTTTAAGTGGGAGAACTTGCACAATTGGTGGCTGACAATACTTTTTCGCCCCACTGTAAATATTCAAATGAAAGCACCTTACAGATCTGCAGTTTATAAGTTAAAACATGGCCGGCTCACTAAGTGAGCTGGAAGCTTGTCCTCCGTCAGGTCGGGGCTGCTGCTCTGCCCCCGGCCTGACACAATGTTTGGGGAATAAAAGCAGAAACTCTCAAACCAAAATAAGGAAAAAGGTACGTAACTAAGGACATTAAAGCCATGAGGTTGGATTTTCCTGACAGGGAAAAGGTCAGAAAAACAGCCTCATTTTGGCTCAAACACACAGTGAAACACTTCAACCCTCTCAGCTTGTTTCCAGCTCCTGACCATCAGGAATGAGATCAGATCTGTGATCCATCAGACCATCTGATGTTACGAAGCTAAAAAGGCTGATATATCTTCAACTTTCACACAAAGCTGCAGCAGCAGAACCAAAAAGCTGATCCAAAAACAAACCTCTCGGTCACTAAAATCAGCAAAGAGCAAAACAAAAATAAGAACAAACCACAGCATTTGTTTGGGGCTATTACATTGATCAAATATGTATTTGAATCTTTTCCATCGGTTTCTGCTCTACACAACAATCAAAGGGGCATGTTATGATTTAGTTTGGAGGAAAATGTGACAGCCTTGAGGAAATCCTCTTTAAATGGGCCCACTTTTCATCTTTGCGTCTTTGTTTAAGCGGCAGTAAATATTCTGCACCATTAGTCACTTCAAGGCCCTCCGTTTAATGGGAAATTCCTTTAGGAACCAGACGGGCTCAAACAACTCTGCAGAAGAATCTTTTTCATTTTCCTGGTTTCAGAGCTTCAAGGCCCAGAAAGCTTTCAGGTTCATATTTAATGCAGAAGTTGGGCTAACTTCCCCTTCATGGCTTCATGATCTGGACTTTGCTGAAGAGGTCCCTGATGTTGCTCACGGGGGAGCTGGGGCGGGAGGCAGAGCCAGAGAGGAGATCTGGGAGGAAATGCCTTTGTCCTCTATAGGCATGTAAAAGAGGCCCAAACCCACAGAAACCCACATACACACACACATATATATATATCTATGTTTGTGGGAGGGATGAGAATCCACTCTTCTGCTAAAAAAAGGACCTCTCACCTGCCTTCACACCCCGGTAAAGAGCTGCTTCATTTCATAGATCCAGCTCACATGGGAAGTTTGAACCCCTCCTCTGTTGCCTCAGCATGTCCAATCACTCCCTCCTCCCTTAATCTCCAATTGGTTCTGAAATGGATTTATATTCATCTTCTGCTAATTTAGACAGGCCTTATCCAATTTGATTAAAGGTTATTTTCTGAATATAATAGTTATATATCTCTCTCTTACTCAGAGGCTAACAGGTGGATGGTAAAACCAAGCCGGCCTCAGGCTTCTTATTCAAGGATTAACTGAAAATAAAACATGCACCTCGTAAAAATATGTAAATCGTGTACAATTTTTTAAGCTTTAATGCATAAAGAAAAACACAGAATTCACTGTCCTGAATGGTGTCGTGACAATCTCTCTACAACACCGGATTTACCCACCCCTTTTAGAATTTACTGTAAGCAGGCAATAAATGAGGAAAACTAGAACTTTATATTTGGTCACATGTTTTCATGAGCTCCTGTAATTACAGCCGGATATAAAACGTAACAGAGGAGCTTGTTCTTATAGGAATAACATTGTCACTCTTGGTCAGTAATTATGTTCCTGCTCAATAGTTTTGGGTGTGTGAGCAGTGCTATTTTTAAGGCTTCTTTAAGCCTGTGTGTTTATATTTGACCAAGGCGAGTGGGGTTTGAGAGGAAATGACAGGATGTGTGGTCAGGCGGCTTGGTGAAATCTGCTCAGTCATGTTGGTAAAGATAGAACTGACCCCGCCGTC